AGCTGCGAAAGCACTGCAAATCCCTACGATCTTCCAGCACCTGCCAGGTTGTGCTAGAGCATCTATTTGAAGAACCACAAAACTTTTAAAACTTACTTACTTCATCACTCTCCTGACTTTCCAAAATCCACTCCTAGAAGGAAGCTAACCCAGGTGAATAAAGAGAGGCTGCTGGAGGGTTTGAGCCGGCAGTTTTACCTTTGTCACAGTTGATGCCGTAGAAGCCCGGGGGGCAGATGCAGAGGCCGGGTGTAATGCAGAGCCCGCCGTTCATGCAGCGAGGAGCACACAGCGCTGAGGGGCAGCAAGAACAGAAAAAACATCGCTCGTGTGATAACAACTGGCTATTTAAATACACAGTACACTGACTCCTTCAGCTACTTTTCCTTCTGCTGAATGTAATAAGTCACCTTGGCAAAGCATCTTCCTTAGTGGGTTAAATCAATTACATTTCTGGTTTGTGTCTGGCAATTTGTATATAGTGTTACTAAAAAAGTGAAGACTAAATTAAGTTCAAATCTGGTTCCATATACAAGCAGCAATTGCCTCTTGTACAGTTTAATTCCAAACAGGGGAGAGCAAAGTGCCCACCTACACCCCCTGGATATTTGAAGTCCCCCCAGACCAGCCCTCTCCATAACTGGACTGGTGCTGCAGACAGGACTGGGTCTTTAGGGGCTGCACTCAGAGGTCTTCGTAACTCAGTGGGGTTCCCGGGCAGGGAAACTCTACAACGAACTCTCCCTTCTCCCTCTGCATAGCCGAGCATAAGCATGGCTACCTCACTTAGGCTAGGGAAACCTGCTGCATGACCTGGTTTGGTGGCCAAACGGTCCTGCGTGCTCCCCGTGAACCTCCTCCAGAGCCCCTGTGCTCTCCCAAGTCTTCTCTGCAGTTGTGGCCACCCCACAAGGCTCTTCCAGGGAGGCAAGGCTTCATTTCGTGGTTGCCCACAATTGGTACGTGCAGCAATGTTGGGTCCATACTAGTGAGATAAACAGCACCCAGGCATGGGGCCAAGTGGGGGCACAGGACCATCCATCTTGTGAAATTGCTGGTGTGGTCCTGGCACGGCTCCACGGGCTCCTCCCAGCAGGGAGTTCGGAGGAGGGTTTTTTTGGAGGGTAAGAGAGTTTATTAAACATACAAATGTAAGCTCCACCATGTCAGTTGGCCTCCTGGCCAAAGAACAGTCCCTGACCCTTTGTATCTAATATTTTGGATTTAGCCAGAGCATCTGGGAATGAAGGATGGCATTGGAATAAGATGCCCATGGGGCTGAGTTGCTCCATCTCAGGTCACCCCAGGGAGGGTCTGCCACTGTGGAGGAGGAGGAAGGAAGAGATAGGAAGAAGAGCTAGTTTCCTCACCAAGTCACACCAATTTCCTGATCCTTCACTCTTGCAAATGTTGTTTGAGGCCTTTAGTCACTAATGGAAGGGAAAAGGAGACTATTTCCATCTTCCCATCTTCATTGTCAGCCTGCCTCCAAATTAGATCTTATCTCCAAATGAGATCTTATTGCCAAATAAACAAATGCTGAACAACTAAAGTCCTGTGCTTTGTTTCCCAGCTAGTCCTCCTTAGCAGAAGAATTTTATTTCATCTTTTTGCCAGATGGATTCTGTGTGATTCAGGATCACTTAACTATTGTGTCAGTTTTTGTTAAAAGCAATTTCTTAGAGAAAAAACATTTTTCTTGTAAGCAATTATTGTTTCCATTAGACCATGGACGATAATAGTAATTCTCTTACATATGTGGACTCAAAATACACAAAATCTTCAGAATAGACCATTCTTATTTTTAGGAGAGGCTAAAGTTTTGTTGAGATTATGGTAAAGACGACAGTTGAGAAGATTTTCTTAAAATTACCTTTCTCACAGTGAGGCCCGTAAAATCCATCTGGACATTCACAGACATGTCTTTCATTGCAAAACCCTCCGTTTCTGCATCCTCCTGGACACTCCGCTTCATAAAATACAACAACAATCTTAGTTGAATATTATATACTTCAGCCGTCAGCCAACTCACAGTAGGATCAGTATATTCCCTTGACACAACTAAAAATATTTGCTGACAGACAGGCAAATGCTGACAGACATGGAAGTTCAGGTAAGACCTTCTCAAGAGAAAATAAGTTTCTTTGTTAGTCTACAAATAGAGGTTTCATCACGTGTTCAGACAAACGCGCGATGTGCTCGTCGACAGACTGTGCGTTTCCATTGCTCTGCTGCTCTCTCAGTGCACGAGCAATGTGGATGCTCTGCTCAACCCAGCACTTTCTCCTCTGTTCGGAAACGAGGGGGCAGCTCAGCGCAGGACCTGGATCGTGGGTTAGACCTGCCCTCAGTACGCAGGACCTGTTTCAATTTCTGCAGCCCCAAGTAGACTGCACTGCAACTTGCATTGCATTAATTACTACATCTGTTACTACTGAGGTGACAAAATGATGAAATCTGTACTCAAATGAAAGAGTCAGCTTCAAAGCTAAATGAAAGAAAGCCAGAAAGGAAGATGAAAGCCTTCTTGCACAACGGTCCTGTATCATCATCCAACTCTTATTCATATCTCAACTATTGATCAAACACTAGTAAAAGCATCTGGCAACACTGGCCAGATTATACAAGGATGAGAAATACCTCTGGGTACCACCATCATCCTCAAAACACAAGAGCCCATTGAACAAGAGGCAAACTAAATCGAACCCTATGGAATCCCATGAAAACATGACTGCTGCATAGAAAAATTACTCAAAAATTATTATATAGTTACTCAAAAATACCTTCCCAGATCTCTCACAGAGAAGGCAGCAGGTAGGAGAGGCTGCCTACTCCCATTAGAAAAACTTACCACCACTAGTGATCAGTGGTACCAGGGCCACAGGGCAGCTTTAGTAGAGTAGGTACGACCTCCTCATCTTGATGCTATGCCACATGACACTTGAGTGACAAGGTTCAAAACCTCTGAGGTAGACTGAAATGTCTCAACCCAAACTCAAAGGCCACCTATTAGTCAGCAATTGGCTGTAATGTTGGCATCACATACGTGACTGACAACACCTGCCAACAGCATCCTTACCTCTTTCCCATGGCCTCATCAGGAAGCGCTGGCACCTACCATCCCTAGGCTGTAAAGGTGTATCATTAATTCACACTGATTCCCAACTGAATAAAACCCGAGTTCAAACTGATGCAGTTACAGCCTTTAAGGTGCAATTGTTCAAAGTGGCAAAGAGCAGCAGGATGTCTATAAAATTAGGAGGGTCACGTTGCCTGAGACATTTTTGCAGCTCACAGAGAATCTTTAAACTGTAACTCCTGTTAATAGAGAGGAAAACATAACCCTGGACTTAAAAAATTTGAATAATTCTCCCTTCTTCTAATATTTGAGTCAATATCTGTCAGTTAAGACTCATACACAAATAAACATTCGTTTTTGAAAATTTATTTAACAGCTGATTAGAGCCACAGAAAACGATGGCCGCTATAACTACGCGCAGTATTCTGCTGCACTCACGTACTAGGTCTCCAGTCAGTGGGATGTGAAGGGTAACCCCGAGAGTAAGCAAAAGGAAAGAAAACCTGATGTGCTGGTCAGGTGGCTGGATATTGTGGACAACTGCCAAACAAATAGGAAAGAGAGAGGAGGAAAGGTGTAATTTTAAAATGCTCTTCTATCCGAGGCCACAGATATATGAAGCAAAAAGCATGGCTTTCAAAGTAAAGCTGTTTGCAGCAATAGTAATAGCGGTAAAGGCTTTTGGTCTTACTGTGTTCCAACACTACTCCAGGACTCTTTCTGGAAATGCTTCTGTCTTTATACCCGAAAGCAGAGCTGGTCTTCATTACAGAAAATGCATGCTTAAATACATACCATTTCAAAGAGAAAAATAAGAAAACATAATTTTTTGTGTGGCCACCTCCTAGCCACAACAAATCCTCTCCTCTCCCACAAAATTTCTCCCTCGCCCCCCCCACTTCCTCTGGCGGGGGCCCTTCTGGATGGCCAAGAATGACTGGAAACAGCGACCGGGGCCCCGGCAGGAGGAATCAAAGCTCCTTGCCACAAATGACATCTTTCAGAGGAGGGAAACTCAGCCCTACCCTAACACCAACCGGTAAGGACATTCTCATCCTTCTCAGCATCGGTCCCAAAACACTGCGGTGTCCTCCTTACCGGAGAGAGGGCAGGAATGGGAGTTATCCCAGTAGGCGCTGGAAGAGACGAGGTGAGAAAAATCCTCCTCTGCCCATCTCTAGAGTTTGGAAAATCATCCTTGTGTCTCCTAGCTGGCTCCAGGAACAAAGGACCAGGGCAATAATCACCCCCAGCTTTCCTGAGAGGCCATATGATACAATACTGCTAAACTGTTAAATATGACGTCTCATATCAAAATGGTGACAACAACAAATAGCACAGACATGACGACTTGGATGAATGTTACTATTAAACTGAGTTTAGAGCTCTCTCTGTTTAAGTCACATTTTTCCACAATACAGACTTGTAACTCTGCTGTCCCTATTACATTACCCCAACACTACTTCCAAAGTTTATTAAGTTCAGTATCTTTGTACTGAACTGAAAATAAAAAGATAGCCAAAGTTTCGTGTTGTATTTACTTCAGACACACAACTTCATACATGAAGTCTGATTGATTTTGCTTCCATTAAGCCCCCATTTTCCTTCCTGTTTCTCTGCCAACTTCTCTCCCTCCTCCACCTTCCCTGAGCTAATCGGCAGCATCGGGGCTTCAAAGGAGACGAGCAGCTTTGCTATTTAGGTGTAGTGAGGTTTCAAAGAACAAACAGCTCCTGCTCCTGCTGCTCGCTCTTTGAAGCCAGACAATTATCTCAGAGGAAAGAGCACAGAAAAGAAAGTGTGGGACTGGGAACGAAGATTTAATAGGAGAAGGATAAAAATCTCACTCTTTGTACATCAGCCCTGTCATGGCTTAATTTGATACAATTGCACATGACATGGGATAACTGCTTTATCTTGGATACCGATTTTTCGATTTCCACAGCCTCCGTTTAAAGTGATAATTATAGTTGTTTGTAGTGTATCAAATGAATCCAGAAAGTCTTATTACACAGTGTTTATGGTTCACAGATTGGTTGATTAAACAGGTTCCCTCCTTTCCAAGTCAACACTGCAATAACTTCATGGTGCCCTTCTTCGACCCACGCAGTCGGCGTGCGTTTACTGCTTGATGACTGCAAGTACTGAGGACCAGCTTCCACCACCTTACCTGTATCCAAAACCAAGAGGTTGCCATCTGAGCTCCACAGAAGGGAAAGCCAACTTTTGCAGAAATTTTCTGCTTTAGGATTTTTGCATTCGGTTTGGATGTGCAAGTTGAGATCGAAGGAACTGTTGAACTAAGGCGCCAAAGAGTATTAATTGAAGTCGGTGTGCCCACTACAGATCCCAGAAGTTCAGTTCTCCAAATTATGTGTCACCTCTGAAATGTTAGCCTCAGCTTGTTTTCACAGGACTAGCTCTCCCTCAAGCACCTCAAATCATTTGCTAACAGGTCCTTCTCATAGGATGCATTTCTATCAACATCCTTGATGTGATGGGGATAAGGAGTGAACAGGAGAAATGCCTCCAACCCAGTCTGCTAATGGAGATGGAGCTGACAGTAAGAAAAGGGTTAGTAAACACTTAGTAAATGAACAGCAAACCCGCAGGCAGAGCCAGAAGAGCCTGACATTCACTACCATCGCTACACTTCGTGTGACCACTTAATTTCCACCTTCTCTAGCCCTCATCCCGAATGAAACATAAGAAAGTCAGGTGACCTGGTCTAACAGTGTTCTGGCATGTTCTCTTTAGCGTTACCTTGCTGACAGGTTTTAAAGAAGATGGCGTTCTGAGGGGTCTGGAGAATAATATTGCCTTCTGAATTCATTATGATCACGTTCACTTCAAATGCAGCGACTCCATCTTGTTTTCCAAGGCAAGGAAATCCAACCTGAATGACTTAAAGGAGAATAATAACAATAATATTTATATTTACATGCATATATATTTATATACATATAACAGCATACTTCGGAATACTAAAAAATATAGATAATATTTGTATTTAAGCTTCAGAGTAATGCCTTTGATGAAAACCTGTAATGCCAAGATATACAGATCATCTTATTCATAGGCGGCTCCCGGACTAGAAGTACAGCAACACAGGAGATGAGCCTGTGCTCATCTACGGACATAACCCCAACAGTCTACAGCACAGACAGCGATCTTAACCCAAACATACTTTTGCTTGCAGATGAGGTAATTACTCATGTGGAGGTATCTAAGGATACTGCAAAACAAGCTGGAAGCCTCCATTTAATTTTCTAAGCCGAGCCGATCACTTCTGAGTCTAAATTTTGCAGGCTTTCCTACGACTTCTGCAAAAACATCTTACACATTTTGGGAAAAAAAAAAAAAAAAAGTTACTTTAGGTATGACTTGCTGGTTTGGATATTGAAATTAATACTTAAATAAGATACTGATTTCATCAAAACCTACTCCATAAAGTGTTTGCAAGATCGTGAGCTTGATAAATAAGATCATGGGTGCAAATATTTAAAAAGAAGACATAGACACATCACTCCGACAGAACTTGTGAAGTGTAGCAATATTTGGAGATTGCCTTTCCAGGAAAAGTATTCAAACACTTTTGAACTACAAAGAGTTTAAGTAAATAACTAAGGCCAGTAAATCTGGAGTATTTTAATGAGGTAGCAAGCCCGATACCTCAGAGCTGTGGAATGCTCTGCTGTGATTGTCACAGTGATCTTAAATAATCTTCAGATGAAACGATTTTATCTCTTTTCTTCAAAGTTGGCTCTTCCTAGCTGCTTTATAAACTCGATCCAGCTAATAGAAATTGTTTATTCATTTCTTCTGAAGCTGGCTTGAGATTTCAGAACCAAATATTGAGCTAACAGCCCTACATTTGGTTTGTTTTAAATTGCTTGTTATAAAAAATTTTGCAAGCCATAGTTGGGTCATTTTTGCTATTTGCTGCCTTGGTATAATACAGAATAATTTACTGCTGAAACACATTCTGCTTCTGGTAAGTCCTGCAGACTGAAAGGTCTGTTGCATTTTCCATTATAAAGCAATTTCATTGTTGAAGCACTTCTACATCAACCTTTTAAAAGACCATTACAAAAAGCATGTCGCCATGTGGTAAGAAGGAAACTCTTACAGTGGATTAAATACAGTTTAAATGCAGTGAACTTCTCAAACTTCTTCTTATAGCGCTAGTGCAGGAAATCAGTGCTTGTACTGGGGTATGTGTGACTTAGCTGAGCAAAGTGCAATGGGGAGGAAGATAACGGCAGAAGTTTAATGATGGCCCTATAGTCATATCGAGACTTCATTGAATCGGTAGCAAACCCCTGAACCCTCCTGAGATTTGGCTGTGGGTTTAAATGCCTAGGGCAAAGACCAGGAATGCATGTCTCAGGGCTACAGGCTGAGGGGACAGGTCAGAAACTCCCAATTCCAACACTCCCCACCCTGGAAGCATCCGACTTTTTGGACTTCCCATATGTCCGAACTCCTAGGCACACAGAAGTGCAGTAAAGGATCCTCCTGTGAGCAATAAGCACTCAGATCCTGGCTGAGCTCTGTGGCGGTTCAGAGCTGAAACAAAGTCCCTAAACTCTGCCTGATCCCTGCCTTTTTATGCCTGTTTGAATAACACTAAGCACACACCAACAGCACTACCATCAAAGCAAAGCACAGAGCAAAAGTCCCTTGCATCCAGAACCACAGCCATGAGCTCCCCCGGGCTACCGAAGTGCTGAGCGGGGCTGTGGGAGAGCAAACCTCAGGTCTGGTCCCCGCTTCCCAAATTCAGGATGCAGTTCACATTTGCCCATCACTGGCTAAAAACAAGGAGAGGGAAGCCCAGCTCAGGACTTCTCTCTGCTAGCCATCATCCCACCATCAGGCCACGGAATTGCCTCTCCCGCACATTTGTATTTCTGCATCCTCTGGAGCGCTTGCACCCAGGACTGCAGAGCAGACGGCTCTAGCAGGAGTGAGGAAAATCTAACTGCCTTGAAAATGAATCTAAGGAAACCTGGTGATTTATATCCAATTTAATTTTAGCTGGTAATTAGAATGCTCTCCTGGGATGTGGAGGATGCAGGTTTAATCCCTTTTGTCTGGGAGCTCATGCCTTCTCCTTCTGTTCAGGAAACCAAGGTCCCCTAAATTGTCTCCAGTGGAGGCAGGTTGAGAGGAACTCCTGCCTGGCTGCGCAGCTCTTCAAGTTCGCAGAAAATTGATTTACCCACTTAGTTCATATGCAAAAGCCACCAGTAAAAGCCACCTACAGTCTCGGGGGTGGGATTGCTTAAGGGACATCTCTGAATTACCAATCCCAGCAGAAGTGGGCATGCAGGCTGGGGAGAAGAGTGGGAGTCCATGCACAGCCCTGCCGCCCACTGTCCCTCTCTACCAGCATGGCAAGGTGAGCAGAGATGCTGCTGCACCAGGCGAAGACACCAGTTTCTACCACTGAGCCTGGAGAGAGTTTCAGCACCTTTGGTTGCTCAGCACATTGGTTTTAATGTGTCAATGCCAGCAGCGGGCAAGGAGAGGAGACATCCTGAACCTGGGCAGTGGGCTGGGTAGGGGCTGTGTGAAATGCATGGAGTAGCGCTGTGCCAGCAGCCCAGGCAAGTCAGCTTGCACTGGTAGCACCGGTATGGCATGGCACGGCACTGCCTGGTGCCAACAGGGACAGGAGGTACTTGGGAGATCAGCTCCTTCTCTATCACAGGCCACCCCATTTCTTCTGGGCACAGACCAAGAGCTGGTTTTATTTTCCTCAGTGTGGTGTTCAAGACATTAATCGCTGCCACTACCAATAACGCCTGACTTCATTTTGAACTTGCTGACCTCCGTTTCGACCACTGGATCTTTGTAGGCTTTCCCCTGTGAAATGAGCAGCCAGCCTCTTAGCGAACAGGTACCCACGCTCCTCACAAACATCTGCCTTTGGACAAGCTGCGTAGTCTTAGCTCTTCAGGCTCTCACTGAAAGGCCTCTTCTCCAGCCTTCTTAACATCTCACCATGCATCTAGGTTTAACAGTACCTGTGTTGTGAGCATGGGATCAGGTAGCAATCCTGGGAGCTGGGGATGGGTTTTCTGAATCAGTCTAAGGAAACTAAATGATTTAAATCTAATTTAAATTTGAGGAGAATTTGACACCTCATGTCATTAAGGATATACTGAATTAGAGACAGTTGAGAGAAGGACAACACCACTGCATTGTAGGCTGCAACTCTTCAGCCCAGCAAAGAGAAAAATTAGGGGAGACATAACAGACATCTACAAAATCATGACTGGCATGGGTAGGACTAACAGTATGGACTGGCTGCTGTCTCTACCAGTACAAGGACTAGCGCCCACCAGATGAAGCTGTCGCAGCCAGACGCAAAACAACAGGAGGGGGAATCTTCATGCAATGGGAGGTAGTGAACTCCTTGCCAAAGCGATTGGAGATACCAGAAGATAGTATGGACTCAAGGAGAGCCTGGACAAGTACTGGAAAGAGAGATCTGTAACCCTGTGGGGTTATAAAAAAGACAAATCACTTGAGACTCAGGAAATCCTCCAAGCTGAAGGCAGTCAGAGCTGAGAGGGTAAAGAGAAGTATCACATATGCGTGCCTTCCTTTTGCTCTTCCACAGGTCCTCTTACGGCCACGGTTGGCCGTAAGACAAAATACAGGCTAGGCAGGCCCTAAAGCACGAAAGCCATCCTTATGCTTTATTGGTGGTAGGCAAGTATCCTCAAACAAGTTTTAAAAGTCCACGGATTTTGACCAGACCACTGGGTTCAACTAATTCTGAGTAAGATAATCTGTTAACCCTCATTCCTGTTTCCCACTCTCATGTTTAATACAGCTGTCTTTCCTCTCTTATTCCTCCTTAATTGTCTTTAGCATAATCTTTGGGCTAAAACGCTTTTTCAAGAACTAACTTGCTACTCTTGATTTGTTATTAGATACAAGCTTGTGATTGAATTTCTTCTGACATGCATATGTGTAGAAAAATGATTCCGTAATGCAATAGATCCAGGCAAACTACACTAGATTTGTCAGAACTGTTTTGCAAACATATAAATTCTAGAAATAACTACAAAGTAGCAAACATCCAGTACTTTTATGGCAGGTATTTATTTAAGGCTACTTAGTCAATTTTGGCCAGCTAGCAGGCAGTGTGAAAAAACCACCACCACACTAGTGTCTCACTGTTAAATAGTGTACATGCTTCAAATACTGTACATGTACCGATTATCAATCACTGTCACACACTAGACTCACTATAATGCCAAACAGGACTTAAATACAGCCAATATACACTAAGTGGTCCATGTAAGGCAACTCCATGGACATGCCCGTATTAGTCCTGGAGCTGGGGTACCAGTGCTGCAAACAGGGCAAGCCCTTTCTGGCTTTAATCAGACCTCCCATCATGATGGTTAACAGACCTTCTGCTGGAACTATGAGATCTCATCTCTGGCCTCCCTGCACTTGCAGATTATGTTTTCCTAAACACAGTCAGAACGGGGTCATTTGGTCTAGCCTTTCTAGATACTTGAAAATCAAAGGAGAAACTAGCTTAGATTAGAGGGTGCTGGGGGCAGAGCGTCCCACATATCTCACTTGCTTTATATGGAGATGGAAATAATGCTTCACAAGAACTTCACCTTTGTGACTTTTTAGTTACTTTTAAATGTCTTTACTTGCCAATTTATTGGGTTTGCAGCCAATTAAATTGCAGCAATTATGGTACAAATACTATAGCACTCTTCACCCAAATCCATTTTCAGTACCACTCATTTCATCCACACTGACTGGAGAGACCAATTATTGACGTTAAATTCCAGGTGCCACAGCAAAAAGCTGTGCTGCAACATTGCTTCGACGCCATTCCACTACAAGCCGAAAATGGAGGATGTCAAACACAAACTTTCAGAATTTATACATTCAAAAAGAGAAGTGAAAGAAAGACTGGCCAAAGATGTAAACCTGTATACCAGTGCTCCACTTGCAGCCCCATCCTCCTGTTCCATTTCTCACTTCTCTCCCATTTTATCCCAGATGGTGGTAGGTTGGCTAAGGCTGATCATGAAACCGTGATCGCTAAGACACTGCTGTCACCCAGATGCACGTTTCTGCCTTTCTGCCAGAGACTACCACATATTAGCCCTGGAACAGATCACGTAAACTGTTATTCACCCACTTCAGGGCAAAGTGGATTCGATAATCTCTCATGGAAAGCTTTTTCACAGCACCCGGCTCGCGGTGCACCACGGTGCTTCTGGAGCACTCACGTTGGCTTGGGCTCAGCCTCTGCCGCAGAGCTGTAAGCTCCAGCAAAGTACTAAGAATGCACAACTAAGGGAAAAGTGGTAAATGATAATATCCCAAACCAGAACTTGTGTCTTTGAGCTGAACGCCTGATGACAATAGCTGACCCCAACTGAAAGTAAAAAGTCCACAAACTGCAACCTCTGAGAAACAGAAAAATTTGATAACTATTCCTTAGAGTGACCAAAGATTTTGTTTTCCAAAAATTGCACAACTTAAGTAATAATATTCATGCACATGAATTTTATGCAACAATTTTGCACCACTTTCTGCTGATTTATCTACAGATAAAAGCTTCATGTGACTTGGCTCAGGCACAATATGCTGCCGTAGTCAGGCAAGGCACTCACAAGCTGCTCAGTGTCAAGCACGGTGGCAAGCATTCCTTTAGCAATAAACTTCAGAACCGCAATTCATAATAAAATATTTAGACTTTACTGGCTGTGGAATATTTTTTAAAGGAACACAATTTATAATATCAACAGCACAAACCTGATGCTTTATGAGGAACTGTTCCAAGCAGAGGGATATTTATAGTTGGATCAGCCATTATGCCTTTATCCAAAGAGCGCAAAGACAGGAACTCGTAGAAGTACTCAGCCTATGTCAAAATAAATGAAAAATTTATATGTAATTTCATTGCATCGACAGAAGCAAACTATTTCGCATATAAACTACAGCAGAAAAATACCACGCTTTTCATTAAGCCATTCACTGGGTTTGTTTCTACTATTTCCTTGAGTGCTTCTTCACCTAAGCATAATTTTCAGATAATTTCCTCTTATTTCAGCGATCACCAGTGACCTTGCAGTAATCAGGACGCAGCATAACAGCAAGGAAAACGGCATGCATACAGTGAACAAATGTTATACACAGACGGCATTTTTTACAACCCACACCTTTTATCTGGCAGACCACAAAAAATATATGAACCGTGAGCTAATTCTTAAAGCTGTTTTTGGGCAGAATCCTCCTGGAACTGACTGGTGAGCCTGGATGACCTGCCTGCACCATGAGCACAGCTTAAAGGATGTACCCACATGGATGGTACCAACCGTGGCGTGAGAACATCCGAGCTTGCTCTTGGTTGACCTGCACAGCACGGCACATCGCCGTGGGGAAGCAGTGCCGGGCAACGGATAAGCCACATTGCTGGAGCACCATGCTAGGACACATACCTCGCTTACAGCTCCGACATTGCTTTGTTCAACCTCAGTTCACTAAATTGTTCCAAGGGTGGAGCTGAGAGCTCTCCTACAGACTTGGTTTCATGTCACTCGTTATTAACTGCAACATAAATGATTTGTTTTGGCAATCGCCAAAAGGTGTTGGTATGATTTAAAAACTACTTTCCACTACCTTCATCCTACTCCCGATAAGCACCACCGTTGTGGCACAGATTGTAGGCTTTGGTACTTTCTTCCATGGGACCCTGGCTGCTCTGCTGAGTCATCTGTTCGATATTTCTTCGTATTTGATGCAAAGTGACGTCACGTGTCTGCAGCATAGCTATAAATACTATGCACACCTGAGATGTATGCACCTCAGCAGGTCACTGGAGGCTTCCACTACTGTCAATGCACAACTGCAGGTGTGCAGAGCAAGTGGAAATGAACCTTTCACTCTAAAGTCTGGCTTCTCATTTACCCTGAAGCATATAAGGGGGCACAGGCAATTGTACCTGCTGCTCTCGGAACAGCACTTGAGATCGTAGCATGGGCACTGGCAAAAAAGTCTTTTCATCCAGCAACTCATTGATAGTAAACAGTATTGTTATGCCCGCTTTTTAGCTAAAATAGTGAAATAAAGAGACATTAAAGCCAGAATTTTATGAGAACTTTGGGCTGATAAATGGTAGCTAATTTATGTTTACAAGATGGCAGTCAACGTCCTCAGCCAGAAGGCTGTCCTTTTTCTCCTGTAATATCCTGGCTCCCTTGTACAAGGAAGACGTGGACTAACTGGAGTGAGACCAGTGAAGGGCCACAAAGAGGATGACGGGCCTGACGGACAGGGCGAAGCTGAGAGACCTGGGACCATTCAGCCTGGAGAAGGCTGAGGAGGGATCTTATCAATGTGTATAAATAGCTGAGGGGGGGTCTAAAGAAGATGGAGCCAGGCTCTGCTCGGCGGTGCCCAGTGACAGGGCAGGAGGCAACGGGCACAATACAGAAAACTCCGTCTGAACCTGAGAAAACACCTTTTTACTCTGTGGGTGACTGAGCACTGGCACAGGCTGCCCAAAGAGGCTGTGGAGCCTCCATCTGTGGAGATATTCAAAACCCAACTCAACACAGTCCTGGGCACATGGCTCTAGGTGACCCTACTTGAGCAGAGAGGTGGAGCAGATCATCTCGAGATCAAACTGTCTGGTCTCAGATCAGCCTCAGCCCTTCTGTGGTTCTGTGCTGTGCAAACCTAAGCAGAAGCCCTGGCAGAAGAGCATCTCTCTAGCTCCTGGTGATACCAGCAAAGCTCATGAGCTGGGTAGAAAGGTCATTATGAAATTCCTGATCAGCCCTGGGAGCACATCCACTCGCTCTATGGGGATTGCAAGGAGACCCCAAACAGCACGCAGGGGCTACAGTCTGCAGGGACCATCTTCAGAGGGTGTTGTGTAGGCATGGAGGCCTCAGAGAAGGACTTGCAAAACAATAGGGAAGGAAGCAATGAAAGTTTTTAAGGGTGGGTATGGAGTATGGAGTATATGTGGGCAGGAGAGGGGACATGGAGAGAAGCAGTAAAACAAGAGATGAAAATTGAAATCTAGGGTAATGTTCAAAAGGCTGCTTTTAATTAAAGACATTTTTTTCCAATACAATATACCACGCCAAAATATGAAAACAAGCCATAAAGTCAGATTGTGAACATTTTTGTTTTCAAATAAAACACTGGTTCAGAAAAATAATTATACGTCTCCACACATCTATAGAATAGTACAGGGAGTGAGTCAATGCTGTACTGTCTGTTTCTCATTGGTTAGCTTTGATGTTTGGTTATATCTAAACCAGGTCATAATGGGTTGGGATATTAAAACGTTATGTTCTTACTATTCTAGTAAACAACAATTGGTAACTAGACCAAATAGCTCCACTCCCATATTTCCATTCCAGCCACGCTGTCGTAGCAGATCAGCTTGTGAGCCAGAGCCCAGATTTGGAGCAAAGAAACTGGAATCCCATTTTCTGGAGTTGAAACGACGCCTAAAGACAAAGACAAAAAGAAAGTTTGCTGTGGGAAAGGGGACCCATTGCTGCATGAGCCGCAATACTCACCGCCTTTCAAGGAAGGAATTCCTCTAACCAGAGCAGAGGCGTAGCAGTGATCAGTGCCCGAGGCAGGAGTATGTTCTGCTCACACGTTAAAAAGATGGGAAGAGACACTGCAGAAGCAACAGGCTGCTCAGGAGGAAAGCCAGGCATTGCATTGGAGGGAGATACCTGCTCTCACCATTTCTGTACAAAGGTTTGTACATCTGCTGAGTTGGCAAAACCTGAACTTCTTGAAATGATAGTATCTAAGAAGACCTGAAACACCTCAGGTAGATCCAGCTAGCATGACTTCAAAGTTATGAAGACATGTGCTGCAAGGTATGTTTGCAAATCACATGTGCTGGACTGAGTTGGTTAAACTTTGATATAAAAATTATAGACAAAAAATCATGATGCAGAGAGGCTGCACAGTGGAGCAGAGTAGTTTAACTCCCCAAACCTGTGAATCTGAAACAAGATTTGCCTGCCATAAATCCTATCTATTTGGAAAAAATCTGTCTTGACACAATCCCTACATCCACTCTCCAGCATTGTCCTGCTGTAATTTGAGTTGATTGCCAATTAACTTGCATTAATCATCATGACTGAAAAGCAAACAACATGCTCTCAGCAAATATTTACCATGCTCCAGCCTAGCATGAAATTTAGTCATGATGGTTAATTGAAGAGATAGGTCTGTGCAATTAAAATATTGTCTAGTGACTACCATAATTTGTGATGTAAGTGGTCATTATGAGTGACCTGGTAGTGAGAACAAAATTTCCTTGGATATTGTTGAGAGATAAAGGGGGAAACCCCATAATCTATAATCCCTTTTCCATTATAAAAACATTCTTGTAACTTTTTTTTTTAAGGCAGCCGATGAACTGTCTGGTACATGAGCAGCAAAATTTGGCAGTGAAGCTAAATCTTAGAGGAACGGTGTTGTCAGAGGTGATGGAGGAAACAGAGTTTGAGATAGATTGTTGATCTTTGACAATTGCACACTGCATGCATGGAAGGCTTTTTGGTTTGGGCTTGACTTCAGGAAGCACCCAAGGAAGAATACGCTTTACTTTTGTGTAAAGACTTTGTTTGAGACCCTCAGAAACTGAGGCAAGGGCTCCTGCAGACCTTGTGCGAACAGTCTGGGGGCTCGGTGCCTTCAGGCAGCAGGTAGCCCCACGCAGCTGCCCTTTAACAGTTCCCCATGTGGGCAAAGCCCTCAGCAAAGGGAGGAAATTTTGGTTTAGGCAAATAATTCCATGGTCAGGATTAACTTTTATGGACTTTAAATGGCTGTTTTCTATAAATCAGAGGAATTTAAAAGGTTATAAAAATAACGAAGCCCTCTAATAAGTATTGTAGCAAACATCTGTTGGCAGTTTGGTTTTAAATGATACACACTTAAAATTCCTACAGAACTCCACTCCTCAGTACAAGATCTACCGCGGTAGAGTTTCCTTATCAATCAGATGCCATGTTGTGCCTACCTTGGTTTTGTTTCATATTTAATCAAAGCATTCAAAGGAATATGCTTTATGTTTTCTTCTTTTTACACGAAAGATGTAGGATTAGAAGTAATGGCAATACCTGAAGCAAAGCAGAGTAGCTTAAACTGTTGTATGTCACAGCTCAATAACCTAATGAAACCTGCAGCCTTTCCATCAAAGAAAAGAGAATGTGTGTTAGCTTTGCAAGTAGATGTAATAAATTAACTATATTTTCTTCTCATTATTTTAAAGAGATCAGTGCTGAACGTTCTATTTTGTTATCAATTAAATGACAAATACACCCTAACGCCAATTTTCTACGTTAAAGAAAGAAACTAATCTAAAAAGTTTCTTTTTATCCCAGATCCATGGATATTTCTGGCTATGCACACACCAGAAGATTCTAGCATGCATTATCCATAGCAGATGCTCACAGCTGCATATGCCATAAATAAAATCACAGAGTGAGGCAATGTATGTGTTTGCTAGGTGTTTACAGCATGGACCATTGCTTCTCCAAGATATTAACTGCATTAGGTCAGGGAAGTTGGTCCGTCTGTGTTCCAAGATGAAGCACGAAGCAAAATGAGATGAATTTCAACAAAGAGGGGAGGCCGTAGCCGTACCGCGCGTACCAGGCTATTGAAGGAGTCTGGCCAGAGTATGAGTACGGATGTCAGCCGTGCATTTTGTTACTGCGGTGCCGTCTAGACACTGCCGTAATGAACAACATAATGATGCTCCTCAGACAAGCAGATAATAAACTGCCTGCCTATGAGGTTTTATTTTTCTGCTAGGGAAGGCAGCTTTGCCTTATCTGTTAATTGGTCCTGTCACAGGGCGGGTAAACC